TTTTGTCATGTAAGCAAAAAAAAAAAAAAAAAAAAAAAAAAAAAAAAAAAAAAAAAAAAAAAAAAAAAAAACTAGCCTAACCATAGTTGTTTTTGAATATCAGGGTGATAAAAATTTCCTCAACTATGCTTGAACACGGGGTGAAATGCACACCTTCACAGAGATGGGAGTCATTTAATGCCAAAACTGAAAATATATTTTTACTTTAGCACTGCAAGGTCTTTAGATGTGCATTTTGTGGAGCAGCACAAGCCCAAATATATTTTTCAGAAAAGCAATTATTACTTAAAAAAAAAAAGTTTGTGTATATATGTGTTCAATTTTTAAAAATTAAGAATGTGTAACTTCTGTTTGGACCTGCTAAAATATGAATACTGAGCCCCTACAGACCATGATAGAAAAGAATTTTGAGCAATTGTTCATGGCTTAAACAAAAAGTCTATTTTATGTGATGACCACCCATATTATAGTACCTGCAGTTAATCATGTCCAGACACTTGTTAATTCATGTCATCGGATCTGAATCTGGATCAGCACAGTAATTAAAACTTAACAACTGTGAACAAAAAAGAAGCGAAGAATTTTCCATCAACTTGAAGACAACGCTGAGAATGGACAATTTTTATTGTGTAACATGCCCAATGTACAGGCTTACTGGCATCAAATGACCCATGGAACAATAAAAACACTGAATTCTACTGAACAGTTATTGGGATAAAAAATGACATGGCTACAAAAGCATAAGCACACCAATAATTACGTTAAGTAATACCATTGTAAATATACACAGAAATCTTCATAAAATCACTACTATGCACACGTTTGTGTCCACATATGGACAATCCAATGTCTAATAATGTACGAGAAATTTATTTCAATAATTGTCAATAAAAGATACTGCCATAGCAGAACTACCAGTAGCTTTAGAGGGAAATGTTTCACCAAGAAAGTAGATAGATCTTCCAAGGTATAACATACTTAAAAGGCAATTTACAAAGAGGTGCACAAGCAGAAATTCCTCAATTTAAATCTGAACTATTCAAGTACAATAGTACATGAAGTGGTGATGTGTAATAGTAGAAATTCCACAATTTGAATACTTCTTTATAATAAACCCAACACAAAGTCCCCTGAACAGAATATACTTGACATAATTGAGGGCAATACATATTATATCTATGATATTAGCAGTTACACATACAGAGCACACCAAAAGTCAAGTGTTATGATTTATAACACTGTTCATCACATGAAGCATCTAAAGATCCCATTAAGTTCAGATTCTTTTCTCCAGAGTTCTTAGATTTTTTCTCCTTTTTTCATCTTATAAGGTGATCTTGAACTTATTTAAATTCTGTTTCATGAAATTTTTCTAAAATTTCTAACCAAATTATTTTCTTTATGCTGAAACTTAAATGTCTTTGGACAGCCTAAGAAAGGGGAAATCAATGACGTCTTAAGGTAAATAAAACAAAGCACTGTATTAAAATTTTAAATGTCTCAGAAAAAATTCAATAATTCAACAAAACTTCACCTAACACTATAACATGACTTTATAATACCCTTAACATGTAAAAAATGTTGAATTGTTAGATGTGGCAAAAAAGAAAGAAAAGAAAAAAAAAACTTGATAGATTGGCGTATTGGACAATTCCCTTTTTCCCCCTCCATGTTTACCGGCAACAAATTTCATTAATTTGATATAAAAAGTCATAATTGGAGAACTAGTAGGCTCTTTCAATTGGATTGTGTAACAGAGGATTTCTGAACAGTGTGTTTCTGATTGTTGGGAAGATACAGCCCTGGCAGATAAATTTGAATGATGGTGCATAATATTTAAGACAAAATATTATGTTTGTTGAAAATAATGCCACGCTCTACTATGAAACAAAGGTAGGAAAGACTCTGTTAGTGGGACCAGAGTTTTATTTAATTTTCCTCCCACGTTCCTCTCCTAAAGTCCTTCAATCCAAGTCTATAGAGATAAAAATCTAATAAAACATAATGGGTCACAAGCAAAGCAAGAAAAGAATGTATATTGTATGTACAACAATTTTGTTAAATTTTGCATTCTTGATTTTAGTTTTTATCGAACACGCATTTAATGTTCCAAATAATTTACAAAATCTTGGCGATGGTTCCCACACCCCAGGTCCTGAGGCTTAGCTTCAGGGTTGAGAAGATAATTTTCCTACTAGGGAACTGGACAGTTTTGTTGTAACCACAGTATTTATGTCACACCCAGCTGAAGTTTTCTCAATGTGTGACAATTTCCTGCCTTGTATCATCAGGTGTAAAGAAACTTTCGACTCCAGAGTCACATTTTTCTGGTTCTTGTCCTCTTCTTGGTGGTATAAGCTGCTTCACACTGCCTGAAAAACAGTTGAATCCAATTAGTTTATAACTGATTACAAATATTGTAATGGTTTGCAAATGATGGATCAATACTTTTTAGTAAAATAATTTTCAAAATTATGGAACTTATTAACGCTTTTAAATTAAATGTCAAATTCGTACAAGCATATTTATCTGTTAAAACAGCAAATGCATATCATTATTAAGGGCAATGCAAGCTTTTTTTTTACTAAACTTCAAAATGACTTAAGCGTGCAAACTGCGTGCTTTGTTAATTTCTCTTGCCTACCCTTAAAATAAATCTGCCAAGTGATGAAAGCAATTGTACTGGTATTAAACAAGTAATTTTCATGCATTTTTCTAAAAAAGCAATTTCAGGCAATTGTTTTGAAGCTGTTTCTATATTGACAGAAAAATTCATGGAATGAAAAAAAAAAGAAATTCATATATGAAAATGGTCTGGATGTTATAAAACCAGCAGCAGACTGTTCTGGCCTCAGTTAGCAAAATGTTAGAAGATTAAGAAGATAAATTCTACAGCCACAGGTAATTAAAACACACACAGAAACATGCAAGGGCAAAAATGTATCATAAAACCATTCCTTAACATATTTCATGAAACTCTGAATACAAAAATTTATCAAGCATACCATATTTAGAAACAAATAGATCAGGTCACGAACAGGACACACCTAAAACAATACCAAGTACTGCATTACATCAATGTAACTTTAAGAACTGACTCGGGAGTTTTCCAAAGTTTGTTCAAGATGGTGATAAATTACCTCGATCAGGATGGTAACAGAGGACAATAAAAGTAAACTGTAAGCCATGTAAACTACATTACTGCAGTTCTTGATATGTGCTCATACAGTGGATTTTATTTTGGTGCAACTATCACTAGCTCTGTTCCTTTCCACATGCATGTGCAGAATTGTGGTTTAGTATTGATCACTCTCACAAACATACAATTTCCTCATATGAGTGCACGCTATTTGTGGCAGTAGAATGTTAATTTTGTGAACAGAACAACATCACTATTCACACACAGTGCAAGGGTATAAACATAGAGCAATAAAATACAACAGTGATATTATTTTCTAACATGAAAACTCACTGTGGATCCCAGTTTTCTTCACTTCTGATGCCAGTTCTTGCAGTTCTTCAATGATGGCAATAGCATCTGTTCTCCCTAGCTCCTTCAGGCATTGAGTAAGCTGGGAAATGGTTCCATCCAATACCTGATTAAATAAATATAGTTGAAGGAGCTCTGTTTTGAGAAGACCCACTAGTCCCATTAAATATATAGATTGAAATATTGAAAAGTGGTCTATAACCAAATTTTGTATAAAATTATGTGGAGTTTGTGGGAAATAAAAATATTTCAGACTAGTATACATGAAGTGACAGCATGAAATATCAAGACACAAATATGTCTCATTTACATACTAATGTGAAGATTTATATATATATACACAGGCTTACAGCTTAAATGTATTGAATACAAACCTCGTAGTTATCTAGAAGGGACAGAGTTGGACTTTTCTGTGGCCTGAATGTGCTGACCAGATGGCCCAGGTCCAGATATTTGGCCACTGCCTCCCAGTCTTGGTCAGTTTTACAGGGATCCAGCAGCTTGGCCAGGGAGACTCTGGACATGTAGTCTAGTTTATCAAGGTCACCTGGGAATAAAAATTAACTTTAAGCAACATATACACTTATTCATGCTACTGTGATAAAATTTTAATTTAACGAAACAAATAGGGGCAAAAATACAATATCATCTTTTGAAAGAAATCATGGAAGCCACATAATGTGCTTTTTAAAATGCTGAAGTATGCTAAGTATAGGAAAGATAACTGAATATTTTCCTTCCCCCAATCCTAACATCATATACAAAACAAACCAAACCTGTTACAGATGAACTTCCCAGCCCTGAGTCCTGGGAAAGGGTGTATACTTTGCCCCCAGACTTGATGAGATGTGCACTATGGTCCTCCACATCACGGAAGGTAGAATATGGTTCCCCATTCAGTATTTTTTGAATCTGTATTGAAGTGAGAAAGAAACAGCTGATAATTCATTTTATGCATTTTAAAAATAGAAGTTTTAATCAGACTTTGCAGACATATAAGTAGAGAACAGAATAAGACCAAGAAAAAACAGAGGATCAGCAACTGACCAAATGGACAAAAATATTTTGTTATTTCTTTTTGAAAAGTCTTTTAAAAACAACATCCTTCCAAAATAAATAAATACCGGTAATAGTAACCTCATCAAAGGTATTATAAAATCAAATGAACAAAAATGTTTTGTAAAATATCTATAAACATGAAGTTATATATATCATCAGTATCTTAAAAAAAAGAGAATATCCATCCAAAATAAATAAATAAATAAATAAATAAATAAATAAATAAATAAACACCAGTTACCTCATCAAATGTAGTATAAAATCAATATACCTTGGCATTCCTCCAAGCTAAATCAAAGGCAGTGTGTCCTATGAGGTCCTCCTCTGGGTCATTTTTCTTTTTCTCCTCCTCATCAACTCCATCTCCCTCATCATCTTTCTCTTCTTCCAACAACTCTGAGTTTTCAATATTCGGGTCAGCCCCGGCGGCCATGAGTAGAGCCACCATGCCTGTGCACTCACGACCGCAGGCAAGATGGAGGGCAGTGTTGCCGTCGTATGTGGTGGCATTGACATCTGCCCCAGCCTGGAAATTATAATATAATACAAATAACTTAGACTATATAACTAATTTTTTTTTAATATCTGTGTGTACATATGATCCAATTTACAATCCTCATAGCTTCTTTTTAGTAAATTCTTATAAAAAATACACTAAGCTTATAATAATAATAATAATAATAATAATAATAATAATAATAATAATAATAATAATAATAATAGGAAGTTAATGGTGCAACTGGGCGTGGCATACCTCCAGCAGCAAGCATCCCACCAGAGCCAAGTCTTCCTTCTCCACGGCATGGTGGAGGGCCGTACGTCCACTCTTACCATCCTGGATATTGACGTCTGTCTGGACACGCAGAATGACTTTTAATGCCTGGAGAGAGCCACACAGGGCAGCCAGGTGCACAGGGGCAAACCCTGAAGGAAAAAAGGCCAGAATAGTGGACTATAAGTTGGAAATTTTCTGATTTTTAAATATATGGAGATGGAAGTACAGCATTCAGATATTGGTTGACTTTCATCATAATGTGGAAATGCAATAAATCTATAAAAATTCCTCTTTAATTCCTTGCCGAACCCTTGCCTTCTAAGAATCAAAATAAACAGGTTATACAAATATTGACTGTCAAAATTTCAAATTTATCAGAAGAAAATCACCTATATGTGGAAAGCATTTCACCCACACTACTGTTATACTGCATTACCTACCTTCATAGTTGTACATGGCAAGCTCTGGGAAGGGATTACTAGGACTGGTGTTCAGTCTCATGTACTTCAGCAACACCTCCAGGCAGCCCTTGGACCCCAGCTCTGCAGCAAGATGAGTGGCAGTGTTACCATGGAGATCAACTATGTATGGGTCTGCCCCACTCTTCAGCAGGAGGTCCACCACCAGTGGCTGCTGGGTCAGTACTGCCAAGTGAAGGGGGGTCTAGACAAGAAAGGAAGATGGGAAATTACCTGCCTAAGATCACAATAGATATCTTGTTTATTTTCCCTTTTTTGTTCAGTTAAGTAATGCATTTATCAACAAATATGTCATTTTTCTTAAGCCTTAATAGATTTTCTTAAAATTTGACAAAATTTTGTATGTTCATGAGTGCCTGTAAGAAGTTAATGCTGGCAACCTGGCCTATAAAACAACTAAGAACTTTATGCCTTCAAACGTTACTGAATTATACCTAACTGAGTTAAACCTCACTCACCTGTCTTCTCTTGTTGAGTTGGTTGACAATGTTGGAGTTTGGAATAGTGACAGCCACACTAAGAAGATTCTTACAAGCTTCTACTCGTTTATGGATGACAGCAATGTGGACACAACTGGAGGATAAAGTATCATGGTTGACACCACAAACATCATTTATAAACAATTGTAATTAATGTGCAAAATACAAACTAAAGAAAAAATTTTAGCACAAATATCAAAGTGATCAAAACATCAAATTTAAAGTTATAAGTCATACTTTGTCTACAATTTAAAAGGGATGTAATATACTGCCATGTCTTAAAGTGTATACCCTAAATGAAATCAAATCTTATTTCAATATTTTCAAAAGGCAACACCCTAAATGAATTTTTTCCTTAGTAATCATTTTACATCACTTACTTGTCCCCTGCTTCATCCTGAACTCCCACCAGGTGTCTCTGCACTGCAAGAAGAGCTTTTGTATCTCCAGTTGCAGCGTAATCCTGCAGAGCCTCTGCAGTTCTTGCTGCCAGCCTCATCACCAAGTCATTGTTTTGTTGTGACAGAGAATCAGGCTGAGGCTCTGGGGCGGAGGTTCCTGGAAAGGTTCAATAGTATATGTAAAATAAAATAATAACATCAGGAATATTTCAGTGTTGTATCTAATAAAATTATCTCAATAACTACAAGTCATAAGTTGCCACACTATTGGTTGTTCCTTATCTTAACAATTCTGTTTGTACTTAATTGTATTAGCAAAGGGTAAATGTAATTCTATAAATAGTTGTATATATCCATCAATTCAAAGTGCATAAAACAGCATTTTAATATTAAAATACATCTACTGAGGCAGCACACAAACATTTTAAGTGATTTCATATAATTATGAGTATCTGTTACCTTTTGTTGGAATGGGGACTTCATCCAGTCCCATCTGCTTGGTCTTTGAAGTAATATTTTCCATGTCAGATTTCCAGTTGTTTTCCTTCCCAACTGAGATGGTGCCTCGTGCAAGGAGTCCTTTCTGAGGGTATCCATAGTATGGCTGGTTTGAGGAGGAGTCATAGGGAGGACTGAACATGTTCATGTCATCAAAGTCTGGTGCTGAGTCTGTCACCAAATCTTCACTGTCAGTGGGACCATAATGTGGAAAGGAGGGTGCTGCCATAGATCCCCCAATATTCTGCATTTTGATTGGGTGTTGATTTGCCCTTGACATGTTTCCATTGAGGTTGCTGATTGGCTGTGTGCTGAGTGATGGCTGCTGTACATACCCAGATCCTTTCATCATTGGAGGATTCACAGGGCGGTTCACTCCTTGTGATGTGCCTAAGAATGTCATGGTTAACTCTGGTGTAAAAATTGCACTTTTAAGGGACAGTACAAAAGATTTTTGGTGCCTGAAATTTTTCTATGTCCTGTGCTTGAGTGATATGGTATTTTACATCCTTTTTAAGAAATAAAATTACACCTCCCTGCTAAATTCTTCTTTAATTTTTTAATCGAACTGCAAGGAATAAATTTAGGCAATCATTAAACCAAATATGGGCATTTTTATTTTAATGTTCCCACCTGCAAAATTGTAGGTGGCGCTCCCTCCTGCCCCAGTACCCCCAGCAGGGCCCACAAGTCCAGATCCTCCTCCCCCACTGCCTCCGCTGCTGTAGCCACCTGAGCTGCCTCCAGAGCCACCTATTGAGTAAACAAGGTTATTTCTCATATCAATACCTACTCTTTAGATAATGCAGTGATGGATCCAGATACATTTTCTGACAGTCTTCCAAATTATCTTTGTTGATCCATCCCCTATTTTGACCGTCTTCCGACAGAAAAAATAAGATACGTGTCAGTATAAACTTGAAAATCTGACCGTCTTCCAGAAGACCCAGAAGACTGCCTAAATCTGCCCCAGCAATGGGTAAAACAGGAAGGATGTATTTCTTAAATATGATACAAAATGGCAACTTATGTTTACCAGAACTTTCTTGTACATTGGTATTTCTAATTATAGGTACTGGGGAAAATGATAATATCAGTAAATATGACATCTTACCATAACGACTAAATGGGAATCCAACAGTTTTCTTTCTCTTCTTAGAGATCTCATCCATATCTAAAAGAAAAGACACAAAGTCAGTAACATTTATATATTTGAAGAAGAAACATCCACATTCATTTACATAAATGTCAGAGGTGAATCATAATGCACAGTAGTACTTAATTCTGCATTGACAACAGGCACAGAACATGATTTACAGCGCAGCTTCATTTAACAGTACACTTTCCAGTCATGTCTGATAACCCCATTTAAAGATAAATTTGTTGGATGGAGCTAAATTTTGTAAAATCATCCATGTGACTTACTGAAACTTGCAAGCCCTGTACACCCCTCCTCAAATATCATAAAATTACAAACTTTAAGATTCTATCATCTTAAAATATATATATAAAAAAACTAAAGGTACTCTAAATAAGTATATCAAACTAAGTCAACAGTTATTAAATTCTATGTACTAAACATATTTCAAGCTTTTTTATTTGCAAGTTCCTTCTCTTAACATCAATATTACCAACATAAAATTCATGTCTGATAACTCCCTGTAATATTTTTCTTTGATTGAACGCATGCAGACACCAGTGACGGAACAATACACAAGACAGACCCACCCTCCAACTCTGGGTAATATGTCCAAGGTTTGGGGTCACTGGACTGCTTGTCTGAACGCCTCACGAGCTCCATATAGACGACCTTTGGCCTCGTTATCTTCAAGTCATAATATGGCGGTGTTTTGAACACTATGGCATACTGAGAAAAAGATTGCACACAGTTTTCTTATGAATTTCCTCTCCTTTTACTACATCTTGTTCATGACAAACTATCCAGAATGTTTATCTGAGTGATGGTTTGATGGCCTTTGTAGGAGTTAAAATTCAATGAAAAATATCTCTTTTAGACCAAGCAGTTTTATATAATGACTACATGGACCAATAAAAAATGGTTTATAATTTAGCTACTTTTGTTACATTCAACGACACCCATAATCTGTAACCATTGCAAAAAAAAAAAAAAAAAAAAATCCATCTTGTACAGAACATCCTGGATAATTTGACATGTCTGATAAACAACAAATCATAACTATTTCATACCAGCGACTTCTGGAAAGTACGTGAAAGGTTTGGGATCGCTAATAGCTCTGTCAGATCTTCGCATCAACTGCATGCGAACCACAACAGCCTTAGCAATGTTAACGTTCCAGTAAGGAGGTGTGCGGAACACTATGGCGTACTAGGGAAAATAAACACAGCCACTGCTATACAATCGCATTAGCATGCATGAAATGTACCCATCACCAATAATAATTTTACATGTTTTCAAAGCTGGAATTTTACAGCTAAAAAGAATTTTGAACTCTCCAGTGATGAGTTAAGTTCAAATGAAGTAAAAAAAAAAATAATAATAATAAAATAACACACACCTCACAATTACCAAGCTAAGAAAATCATTTCAGTTATTGACAATAACAAGTTAATAGCCATGACATAAAAATACTGTGTAAATCAAAAGTTCCAAAATAAAAGAGAAACACCTTCACTCAGACCCCAGGGTACCCAACTAAAAATCTTCCAGCTGTCTCATTATTCTTAAATTTATGCAAATATTCTATTCCATCATCATGTCAAGTGGATACAAAAATACTTAAATATTAATTGTAATATCTTTCATGCTAATATTTCAAAGAAAACAAATTTGAAGTCTGATGATATCTCATGCATACAGAAATAGCAAGCTGACAGATTATCTCTGCTTATTACCTGGCGGTGTACATCTGGCGGTCCGAAGTTCCCATAAGCCTCCCATTTCAGTCTCCCATCTTCATCTTCCTCAAAGAAACGCACTGCTATATCATCTGAAATTATTATCACCTAATTTTATTCGCTGGCATCTAAATTTATCATTCCTTTACTAAAAAACTATGTACAGTTTGTCTGTGAAAGATAAACTTAAGGCACAGCTCATGTTACTTGTAGGCATACAGACGAGTCTATGAAAAAAAATTTACAAAAATAATCACTTTCTCATTCCACTAATATTTCCTGTGTAAGCACAGTAACGTTAATCTTGTGAACTTAAAATAAAAAGCAGTTTGATAAAAAAATCAATACTTTCTTTTCCTTATGCTTGCGGCTGAAATAATGACATGTCTGTAATTCAATAGTTTAGTTCCTCTAAGCTGCCGACTTGTATTTTACATGAATTATATATTCTTTGGCATTTTCTATGACAGCGTGGTCCATGCAAAACTTGTCCTTCTATAAAGACATATAATAGATTCAGTGCTCCCTACCTCTGCACAAAACTCAACTACCATGAAGAGAATAAACATTCTTAATATATATCTAACTTAAGTGTAGAGGTAGAAACACCTAGTCTATAATTGTTAATTGCATACCTTTTTGTACTTTATCACAAAGTAAAAACACTTCATCGTTTCCTCTGACACTGCCTGCCTGGCGATCTAGACGGCAAATTTTCAGAGCTGCCGCCCCCGGGGCCTCTGAAAAAAATAAAGTTATGTAAAGCTTCAGCATCAGGGAGTAGAAACGCTTTCAGCCACTCAATTCTAAGATTAACAAAGAAAAACACACTTGCCTTTATATCCTCTGGTGTGCTGATATTTCATGAACGGCAATCTCTACTTAACTACTTAGGTAGAAGTGAGAAATCATAGATGACCTACTTTACTACCTGTCAAAGATCTTTACCAGAAAATACTCAAGTTTTCCGAATATTGCAAGCAAAATATCATTTACAAATGACAGTATTGCAATGGAAACTAAGCAACAGCATATATCTATATTTATTTAATATCCAATTCAATGTCACACTTGTGACAGGCTCACAATTTTTTACGATACACTTACTGCAGTCATAAATTTGTTTTGAGATCACGGACGGCAGCATGCGACTGTATGTGCCATTTTCGTCCATGAGGTAAGCCTGGAAACACAGGCGCACAGTGCTGAGGTGCATACCCTTGGCTTGTTCCTCTGCCTGTTCCTTGGCCTGATTTTTCTCTGCCTCTGGTAATATCAAAGAAACATGTAAGTGATAATAAGTATTTCACATAGTGTAAAGATGCAACAAAAATGATTCAAGTACCTCAAGGAAAGTTTACAACTGAAACAGTATTATAAATCATCATAAATTATAATATATTGAGTGGCAAAAGGGCCTTAAATGTTCTGTACATGTACACCATTTACCTGTTAGGCCAGCATTTGGATTCCCTGTAACAAGAACATGATTCAGTCTGATGGACTCCTGAATTCTTTCAGACAAGACATTCACCAGGTTCCTACGGGTGATATGCTGAACTCCCATGTTTGGAAAGCTACAAATGGAAATACATAATTTTTGTCATATGAAGATTGTAATTTTTTTTTTTTTTTTGATTGTAATATTCGCCTGATGCCATGGTCAATTAAACCCTCAGCGACTTATGATGCCAGTGTCAGCGTCCAATTTCTTGCTGCATCCCATTTTTCTTTGTGTGTTCATTCCTGTTTTTCTTTAATTGGTTTAGAAACAATGAAGTATTTGAAATTTGAAAATAACATTAATATATATCATGTAATTATTACATCTTCTGTGATTGACTTTTTAGGCTTTTAGAAATGTCCTGTAACATTTTGATATAAGGCTAACTATAAACGTGACATACAAGCACAATAATTAAAAAAAATCACTAAAATTAGATCATGAAAAATTCAAAACCTTTTTCTTTCACAACACCATTGCTAATGATGGAAAATTTACATCCATTCCACATACTTTGAAGTGAAGTGCTATTATCTTCAACAACAAGCAATACAACATGGGAAAAGCAACAACAACAATGTCATATAACTTCTGTGTCATATAACCATGCCCTACTAAACAAAACTTAAGAACTTACGTTGCAGTGTTATTGGAACCACCTTTCAATTCCACCAAGCAAATACCGTTTTGGCAGTTCTTCCCGACCAACTCGTGGGCGTGAGTTTTTGGCACCTCTTCATCTGTTACCAGGGAAACTACAATCCTTGCCGCGCCAGTCCAGTTATTGATCTGCAAAGAAAGAATCAAAGTGAACATTCTATGTGAGGATTATCTTTGTGAAGGTGATTACAAGACAAAAGTAATATGTTGCTTCCAAAACTGATAAAAACCGTGATAATGTGGGCTTCTTACAAGACTCCATCATGTTTTCTTTTCAAGTGTAATTGCAAATCTATTTCATCCCTAACACTTCTGAGCCATCTGGTTCATCTCAACAAAAGTATATGTGGAAAATGTATTTTTTCTAAAAAAAGAACTAAAAAGAAGTAAATCAGTGAATAAAAAGTGTGACATACTCTGACAGTGGGGTATGTTTTCTTTCCTTTCTCGCTATTCTCTCCTTGCAGTCCTCCATGTGATCCGCCCTCGCACTTGTAACGGAAACGAAATCCTCTAGACTGAGGCTCCTCTACGATTTCCAAATATGGCTCATCTCCAACTAAAGAATGAAAAGATAACAAGATAACATAATTTAACACATTTGTTTTCATGACAGACAAAATCAAAATTTTGTAAAGTAATTATCATCAATGTAATGTTTTTTTTTAATTCTCCCATACAATCGTTTGGTTGCACTGTTTTCTCTGTTTGAGGTGTGGAAAAAAAGAAAGGAAAATAGAGAACTGGGGACCAGTGAGGGAGAAGAATAACACACAAAAAGTAATAGAAATCTTTTTTTTGGCATAATGGATAAGACTAAGGGTCAATGGAAAACTTTTTTCAGACAAGGCAAGTAAAACCAATAATCCCATAGATAGAAGGTTTCAAAATTTTTTCCAATTTTTAATAACCCAATAAGAAAATATAGTTCTTGAATGAGAGGTTGAGACGCAGTATGCCGCGACCTTTGTAATAGTACTTTACTACTGAAAATCTCACCTGTATTTGAACCGAATCCATTGATTACTGGTGTGACTTCCGCAGCCACTCCATTCATTGTGGTGGGATACAGGTTATTATTACCATTCTGCTTGGGACCTGCCTCGCCTACCGCCATGGCAATGCGAACATCGTGGTCCTCTTCAGCGGAATAGTGCCCAGTAAGATCCAAGGAGTCCTCGCTTTCGTCCACCATGGTCTGAAACAAAAAGTACGAGCTTATCAGTCTTAAAGGCATGTTTACGTATTAATGAATAACTTGGGATCTGAGATCCTCATTGTACTGACGTGTCAACTGTATCTATATAATCTGACTGCCAAAAGAAATAATTAGGCTGATTTCTAGACGTAAACTGTTCTACATAATGGTAAAGGCAGCTTTGCCACAAAATAAAACTCAGTTAAACTTAGTCTTGCAACTGTTAACAAGGAATTGTTGCAGCATCAGTAACAGAGTTTACCAACAAGACTGAGGTTTATCGAAACAAAAAGAGTTTGCCAGCAAAGACTTTGCAAATAAGGATCCAGTTATTTTCAGCAATCTTTTACCAAAAATACTCCAACAAAAAATTCAAGTTTCATGAATGTTAAAAAAAAGGCATTTGGATATCCTGTACAGGGTTAAGACAGGAAGAGACTATAAGAAAATGAAAGACTGAATAAGGCTCTATTCCCATAGATTTTAGATCGATCTATCCCCGCGGGGAGTCTCACTAGATTACTTTCAGATAATCCGACTTAAATGTCCGCCCCACCTACTACAAGCTGTAAGGGGTAATTACCTTGCGTGTCCGCCCGGCTGACAGCTATTTAGCGTGAACCCCCAGGGAGTTACGTCGATCTAAAGTAGGTCGATCTAATCTAAGGAAATGGGGTGTTAGGTTATTTGTAAAATAATGTTTTAGTTCTAAAATACAACACCAATGTACCAATCTAATTCCAATGTCAATAGATCATACTGGTCCACCAAGTACAAAAAAAAAAAAAAAAACACTTCAGATTTAAATCCTAGGTTAACAAATGTAAAAAGTAAGAAAAAAAACTTGTTCCGTGTCTAAAAGTAAGTTTGTGGCTTATGGCACTCAATATTCAACAAAATGAAAGTAACCTCAATGATTAGAAGGTATCAATTTACTCTACATTCATCCTCAAAACTAACATTTACACCCACTAACTTCCTTCTAAATAAAGCTGCTTGTATAACTGGCTTCAACTGACAGATAGTTTCGTCCCTAAATGTTTATGTCTGAAATGGAACAAAAACCTCTGACACAGTTCTGGTGACAGAGACACCTGAGAGAATTGATGTATCTCCACCTGACTGGGAACAACACAGCCACATACTAAATATGTAACATTAATTCCATGTTCAGCTGCATTTTTAATTTGAAAGTTAATAACTTCCATTAATGAAATTAGAAAGACAAAGCCAGAGAATACTGAAGAAAAAAATTAATAAAAAAATATTTATGTGATAACACTGAAGGTCAGGGTACATATTAAGCTCAATTTAGGAAGTTGGCCGATTCTTATATTTTGGCTTAGATAAACATGGTTAGAAACCAGTTAAAATTAAAAAAAAAAAAAGCTTGACTTGCTTTCACAAAAAAATTTCCAGTTTTTGGGTCCATTGTATGATAACATAACATTGCCATATTAAGTAGTGAAGGTCTCCTTTGTGTCATTTCTCTCACTTACTGACATTAATCAAGAGCTGAAGATAGAAGTGCGAGAGAGAGAGAGAGAGAGAGAGAGAGAGGCTAACACATAGAGGATTCACTGCAGCATTTTCATATATTTGATTTTTCCTAGTTTTGTTTAATTGTATGCAATGTGTTGTAATCTACCCATTTCCCAGTTATAGAAATCCTCCACATCTGACATAATATGACATACCGGTCCGTGTTTTTGTAAAGGTCTGTATCAGCTATGTAGATAATATACAACAACAATTTCTGTTCCAACCTACAACATTTGCCTTGAGCTATAAATGCAATCAGTAAAATGGAAGATAGTAAAATTTTGCAAATTTGTTCAGTTAACTGGACTATGTAGTTCATTTATATACAGGTGCCTTACAGTAAGCCAAACGATTTTGGCACAGACTATTCCAAAGGATTAGTGATGTACTGTAGGCGCTATACTGACTGCATTTATAGCTCAAGGAAAATGTTGTAGGTTGGAACAGAAATTATTGTTGTATATTATCTACATAGCTGATACAGACCTTTACAAAAACACAGACCAGTATGTCATATTATGTCAGATGTGGAGGATTTCTATAACTGGGAAATGGGTAGATTACAACACATTGCATAAAGGTCTATAATAAAGGTTGCTGGAACCAGGAAATGCACATATCCAGCTTTCAAATGCTAATCAAATATGAATTTTTCATCAAATATTTTAAACCAATTTACACTCAACCGTGAGATAAGTCCTTGTAGTCAAAGACGAAAATGGAAGTTTAGATCGGATTGGAACTAGCGTTTGCAGCATTCTTGATGTAGTACACGTACGTGTGTCAAGCCGAAACAGGTACGCTTCGTCCTATTTCCTACATGTATCAATAATCACTGGACATATTTCTTCGTGGTACATGCACAATGTACGTCCCCCAAGAACTGTGCATCCTATTTGTTTTAATAGACCTTTCCCTCTTGCTTCCGTTCAGACATGCTGGCACACAAATCGGCTATCAATCTTACGGTGAGATATAATGCTTACAGCGTCTGTTTCACCAAGGTCGTAAACAAGAAAACACACCAGTTGTGTTAGTAATTAAAACTAAACTAAAATATAACCAACATATCACACGCACGAAACCAACACGAGAGGCAAAAGAAAGGACAATATAATTTGTTGATTCATATACCGATGTACCCCATCGAACTTACCTATTTTGCAACCTAGAAAGTTCTGTCAGATACTGACAATGTTTAATGGCGTAACACCCCGATGCCGCTGGACTGAGGACAGTATAAGTTTGGATTTTCCATTAACAGGCCGTCAACATTGGGATTTCCAGATACTCGGGGATTTCCCGGCATATCATGATTGGTTGAGGGCTGTCACGTGATCACAATACGTAGTTTTGATTGGACGGACAAAGGATAAAAATAGCACAGATGACGATCTTATTTAATATATCTATTCACAATTTTTTGTCAATTTGCCAAACCTACAACGTAAATAGACCAAACGTTAGATCAGAAAAAGCCCCTTGCGATAACTATTTATCTCCAAATGGGTTCATCCCCCCCCATCTACGTTAAGTAAATGAAAGTCTAGGCAGCTTCATCTTCCACAGGTGACTACTTTTCAAGGTGACGTGTTAGATCCAGAATCATGTTCACCCAAGGGATTCCCTGCCCCTCCTCCTCTTACCTGATAACAGATATCCTTTACATTAGTCATTGTATTAACACAACAGAGTGGAAGATTGAGTAATGCGACAAAAAGTGGTAAATCATCGCCCAATAAACAGTGCTAAAGGCCTTTCCTATTGTGATAATTTATGATTTTGCAAAATCAATAAAATAGACCTACTATATATAATACATCAAATGCGATATCATATATTTACAAACAATCCTTTTGTTATTAAACATTTCTGTAATATGTGTATCATTTATTCAAATTTGTTTACAAAGGCATTCACGAAAATTCAAATTTTTATGATATAAAAAAAGAGCTGGATATGCAATATCCCAATTCCGTAATTGTTTTCATCCTACAGACAGAATTAACAAACAATTTTATTTCACATACAGCCAAATTTTACAGTTAAAGCTCATGGCCCAGAAATTATAGAATGCTGGTGACTTAACTGTCATATCTGTAATTCAAATAAAATTAATTAATTCAAAGAAAAGCAACCAGTGAGCAGCCAAGCTCTTTGTCCTGCTATTAGCAGGGTAGTCTGTGAGTTTACCTTCTATATATAAGCAAGGAATGCCTGACCCTGCATAAAATATACTAGCTACAACATGTTATAAACTTATACAGTGTTGGATTTAGAGAGGAGGGGGGGGGGGTCAGGTTGGTCCTGACAACCCCCACCCTCCTCCTTCGGTTACTGAAAAATATATATCACACCAATATTCTCTTCTGGGAATTTGAATTTTGACTAGCTGAAGCATAGTTCTAAACCATACCAAAATGTACCATTTGCCCTCCAAAACACCAAAAAATTTTTCATGGTCTGCCCCCATTACATTTCTTCTAGGGTAAGTAACACTGAAGCTGCCATTAAACACATGCCTATGAAAAAGAATAAATTACATGAAGTTTCTACAATTATTTTGGACTCGCATAATTTGAGCTAAATGTTGCCTGGGGAAAAATTTAAATTTTCAAGTTGTTCAGACTATCCACGTGAATTTTGAATAATAATAATAATAATAATAATAATAATATACAACTCAAATTGTATGGTCCATTTATACTAATAAAAATCATAATCTAAATTGAGATCCACATTTTTGGGGGCAGGACAATTAATCAGTGACACTCTCTAAAAATACAAAAAAAAAAAAAAATTTGCACACGATTCTGACAAGTCTCATAACTCATTAAAAAATTCTAAATATTTTCCCATCAAAACTCTGCTCCATTGTGTATTCCTCAATCTCACTGTCACCGACTGTGTTGAATGCTTCAATGTACAAATAATCCTTTTCCTGAATGGGAAATTAAGGGGGTACACAAGAAATTGTGCACCTCTCACATTCATGGCATAATCTGTATCTGTTTCTGACATTTCAATATCAATACAACTGAAGTCTGCATTCACAACTAGAATGCCGTCTCTTTGAAACAACCAGCAGAGTCGTCATCACCATTTGCAGAGTCTCTGTTGTCATCCTCCATGTTAACATCACTGTCACCGCCACCGTCACCGTCACCGTCATCTGGCCTTATCTCCCAGTCATTAGGGACTATCACGTCCTCACCCAGGATAAAGCTTATAATATGCTGTCCATACAGGTGGCAACGTTTCTTGTTGTAGTCCTGAATTTGCTTGGAAACATCGCCTGGAAAAAAGCCACTTCTAGTCATTTCAGAGTGAAAGTGTTACCCCAAATATATCATGGTATAAAGATTTTCTGTAAACTGAGGTAAAGAGTTTAAATATTACCTGCTGATTGAAGAAAATCAATTTACTCTTACAACATTTCACAGCTGATGAAATTCTCTTTTTTTCAGCTCATTACAATTCTTATGAAGGAGTCCACTTTTAACGGAGCCCAATAAAAGAATTAAAATAATATCAAACAATAATCACTTCAGCTTGATACGAAAACCTTCATGAACTTATATTATTTCACAATTAATCATAAACAATTGCTTACCAACAGTGAGGTGACGATCCAATATATATTTATGAAGCTTATGTATATCTTGCGCCAAATCTGTGTCTCCAAATGTGAAGTAGCAAACATCCCTTCCAGCTTCTGCTGCAGCCATCAACTGTATTATAGCTGAAATGTATACTTCAAGGTAATCGCTGTTCACTTAACAGAACTAGGTGATTTTCATTTTACTAATTTTAAACTTGTATGATGCCATGACCTCAATCAAAATCTTTAAATGAGAATAAAACACAGCTCATCAAAGACAAGTAATCCCCCACCAGTTAAATTGCTGTTCTGAACAAAATATTTTCACACATAATTAATAGATATTTATAAGTTAATTGGTTACATACTGCTTAATGGTGATTTGCCATCTTCATGTGTGTATACTATTTATAATTCTCATAAACTAATAAATGTGTTTTAAAAAATCAATTAAAGGAGAAATACGGCCAACACCAATGAAATTGTCTCCACACAATATTATTTATTCCTCGCGGGAGCACAGCCTACCTTTTAGTCTGGGATCTCCACCAAAAGCTCCACATCCCCAGTTTCCTGTGGCTACAGCAGGCAGCTTTTGGGACTTATGGACTGATGTGAACCCACACAGTGCCTGAAATACCAGGGAAATTAGAGAACAATGACTATCATAGGCCCCATTCAGAATAGGGGACTAACTAGTCTGAGGGTCAAATATGGCAACCCAATACAAAGCTTGCCGGCTAATCTGCTAATATACACTGAATAAGTATCCTGTGGGGAAGTATTCAACTGGGTCGGCCATATTTGACCCTCAGACTAGTTAGTGCCCTATTCTGAATTATGCCATGCATTAAAATTATATACAGATATTAAGACATGATAAATTATTTTTATTCAACCCGCCCTTATAAAAATTCCCTGTATGAATTAGCATAGGATTTCCTATAGGTTCCTATAGAAATTCCTATAAGATTTCCTATAGGATCCTATAGGAATTTTTGTAATGGTCTTAACATAAATTAAAAATCAAAATTGTATACTGATATTTAAACCAGATTCATTATTTTTCATTCAACACGGCCTTATAAAAATCCCCTATATGAATTAGCATAGGATTTCCTATAGGTTCCTATAGGAATTCCTATAAGATTTCCTAAAGGATCCTATAGGAATTTTTGTAATGGTCTTAACATAAATTAAAAATCAAAATCATATACTGATATTTAAAAAAGATTCATTATTTTTCATTCAACCCGGCCTTATAAAAATTCCCTATATGAATTAGCATAGGCTTTCCTATAGGTTCCTATAGGAATTCCTATAAGATTTCCTATAGGATCCTATAGGAATTTTTGTAATGATCTGAACATAAATTCAAAAAAATAATTTCAGCTTCAATGATTTGGTACAAAAACATTCCTAATGATAAAATATTTCTCCATAAAAGATGACTTTACAAATGATCAATTTTTCAAGATTTCTTTAAAATAGAAATTAAAGAATTTCTATAGAATCCTATAGAAGACTAAAAGATTGTGCATTATAAACAATAAAAAGCATTTTTGCTTTAATAGTGATACATAATTGACAATTCAACTGCTAAAATTGACCTATATCAAATATCTATTGTTTAGAATGATATTTGTCTATAAGATATGCATTTTTCTCAAGATTTTAACTTGCAACAATTTCCTATAGGAAATCCTATAGGAAATGTGCCCTATAGGATCCTATAAGATTTCCTATAGGATCCTATAGGACCCTATAGGAAATTTTCGTAAGGGCATATATACTGTTTTGATATATTCTTTACTCAAGAAAGCACATATATTCAAGGAAACTGATTGTATACATTAAATTCACTTTTATTTCAATATTTTGACTGAATACTGTGCACTTGGCTTTTATATCAAAAAGTGATATACCTTTTTGTATCTTCATTTACTTAGTAATAAAATAAACATAGCATAAAAAACATATCTGAAATCAGCATTATGTAAGACTAGCTATGTAAATAATCCCCCATTGAAATGCCTTGTTTACCTTGTCTAATTCTCTTTTCACAAATTGATGTCTGTACTGACTGTTAACCTGCCGCCCCTTAAAGTGCAATGCATCAATCGCCACCACAGATGTACACCTTCTGCCCCAGGCATCTCTGGAAAAAAGAATAAAAGAAAAGATCAGAGCATATACTTACATTCATTTGGACATAATCAAAATCAAAATTGTTCATAGATGACAGCATTTAATGATAAACATTTAATGACAGTCTTTTAATGATAAACAATAGAATTCCTCTGTTATTTTCTGAATCATCATTTTTCTTTTTCTTTTTGAAATGGTAACCAAGGGTCTAATGTGCAATTACTCTTACAGACACTCTTCTGAAATATATCTTAAAAGTCAAAAATAAAATAAAATAAAATAAAATAAAATAAATACATAAGCATAAAATCAATTAGTTTTACATATCAGGGAACTCACCTTGGCGTCACATCATGGAAATCTTCTACAAATTCAAATGTTTCTGCATATCCCATGTATCTGCAATACTGCTCACACCCTGAAGCAGAAAAATGAAGTATTTGGAAATAGGCTTTATTTTGCCTTATTAATGATAAAATCTGATATAAAGCTTTTAAGAAAAATCTCTAGCAAGGTTTTGAGGTACTCAGTGCTGTCATTAAATTGCATTAAAACAGTGTTTGTGGGTGCTCAGGTACAGGAGAAGTTTGAGAATAAGATTTTGCATTTTTTTACCACAAAATCACAATTATGACATCATTGGTAAGATGACATTAGTGCAAATGCTAAGGAATTAAATCAGTGAACACAGAAGATTTATCTATTATCCAAAAAATGTGTGAGACATCAAATATAAAGAGCTTTGTGGCTAAACCAGATAGTAGCCTTAAACAGTCAAACAGAGAACAATACTCATGCTTATAAAACTGCAAAAAGTGACTCCTAAACTTTTCCACACACATATTCAGTCAAATATTTCTGATAATACCAGTCATAAGCAGACATTCATCATCAGCCAGTTCCTCAGTAAAAAGCCTGGACACAATGAGCTCTGGACATATCAAAAATCTGATCTCTTCCTGAACACAGCCTCGCCCCAGGACTCCACCCCCCAGGAACTTGTTGGCAAAATCAACCTAAAAATACATCATGAAGTTCAGTAGAATAGAAAACATGTCACGAGTCATGATCCTCATATTGTTAGACAGGCTAATGAGGGTTAAGTCATCTTAATCGGAACAGTTAAAAATTAACAAGGCAGCAAAGCTGTCAAATGTACAGACAAAAAACAGAAAATAAAGATATAAAAAAAGGTCATTTTGTCAATTTTGATGCAATAATAAATAATGCTTATAATAGCACTGTCAGTCAACACTGAATTTTAATCATGCACAACAGGTAACATGGTCAATAACAGGAGCAGACCCTGAGATATTTTCTGACAGTATTCCAAAGTATCTATGTTGATCCATCCTCCATTTTNCAGGGGATTCCACAGTTAGCTGAAGTAATAAGCTATTCACTGGGGGCTATTTTTATCTGTGTCAGAAGAGCAAGTGATTAAGGTCAGAGCAATTAACTGTCTTGATTGCTGTCACGCAGACTTGGACTGGACCTGCCAAGTGGCAGTGCCTGAGCAGTTATGCAAACAATTACCAGCCATGTAATCAACCTTGAGATTTCTGTACAGGGTGACTTAGAGTTAAAATGACAATCTATCTAGCTAGAGACATATCTGTGAATATCCGTAAAAATCTATCAGTCGCCCTGGTAGAGGGTATATGTTAGGGTGTTGTAGAATAGAGTTTGCAAGATGAGTGTAGATGAAATAGCATTTGTTTATTTTATCAGCCTTTATGTAAAATGCAAAATGGACACCAAAACTACCTTTATCAGTGACTCTTCTGAAGTAATTCAGTAAGCACTTTAACTTCTCCATTCTGATGTGGCCATCTGCATCTGAGTGAGGCATTTCATATAGCCTGTAACAAAAACATATATAGAATTGAAATAGACTTTGATCATGCACACATCAAAGTTCAAGTCTGGTAAAAAATTATCAAAACAATAATGCTCAGTGGATATAAGAAATTTAATACAAGTAGCTACTTCTTTGGGTACGTGATAATTAATAAAATTCCAAAGGCAACCTATGTAAAAAAAATCATTCTATATATGCATTAACATTTATTCAAAGTGAAAAACTATTTGATGCAATCATCTTTAGTGGCACTTATATCCATTTTAGCTAAATCAGATGATGCTATACCATATAGATATAACAGTAGATACTGCTTTTTAAGTAGGGCTCTAATCACCCACGGTCTACCTATTAAAATTAATATCAGGATAGCTGGCATATTCTGAACCCTTTTTCTTTCCATTTCTCTTTGGAAATGTGCAGAAGAATGCATTGGCCAACAAACAAGCAGCCTGGTACTGGCTGATGGTAATGGCTTTATCTTGGTGTTTCTTCAGTAAGGGAATAGGCTGCAAAATAAATACGCCATGTCCAACATGTCAACTACACAGCAATTATAACATCTTGCTGAGGTTGAGAGCCATTATTTAGTCCACGTAATAGTAAAGTGGTATACTATCTGAAGCANTTAGGACTTGTAAAAGTAAAGAATACCTGAAAGCATATGAATATGCTTTATTATTCATGAAACTTAAGTAAATTTCTTTTTAATTCTTTATACTTTATTGTATTTTAATAAACTGTCTCCAGTTAACCAACAGTTTAACCATATGCTACATGTACTGGTGAAGCAGACTGTCTACACTGCAACATCTTTGAAACACTTCAAACAACTTCATTTCTCTTTAAAAGCATTTACTGTGTACCTATCTGACTCATTCCGCATTCAGCACAGTCTTTAACACATCATATTTGACCTCAAATACAATATTTAGTTTTTATTTAAACAAAAAGGAATATTTCCAGTCTCTTAAAATATGAACACACTGACAGTCCCAGTCTAATTTACCTGAGTACAAACATCTGGTAATTTGATTGCCAGGAGGGCTATTTGTTTTATGGTATTGACAAAGTCTTTCTTCTGTTCATCCAATAACTGAAAGTTTTAAACATCAATATTCATACTCAATATAATAAGCAATCCAAAGGGAGCTTCCAGATATCTTCAATCTGACTATGAATATTTGTTGTATAACATTAAAATCCAAATTCGTAAATAATCCAAATAAATCAAATTTCTTACGAACATCTTATTTGTGCCTAAATGAATAAATAAATAAATAAATAAATAAAATGCTCTATATAATCTAAAGGAATGGACACTTTTATCTATCATCAGTTGTATTGAGTTGAGCAAATTAATTTGTATCTCAGTTTTCTGACAAAACTCACCATTTCTTCATATTCTTTGAGCATCGCGAAATCCCACTTCTTTTCATATCTCTTGTTGTAGCGCAAGATAGTGTCCTGAAAATAGAGATTGACACTGAACTCTTAACTATAACCTTTTTTAAACAAAATACCATGATTTTGCACTGCAATCATTTGATTTTTATTCTCTAAATATAACTTTTATTCTCTAAATGTAACAGTTTACTGCAAATCTTAGGATATCAAGAAAAGCATGCATTGTCAAACACAAATGCTGAACTCAATTTGAATCTATAAACATTTAAAAAAGGTACTACATAAACTTCAATGAATGTTTAATATCTTTTCAACAAGTTAATGACATTTTATTTTCTTATAAATTATATACAGAAAAAATTCAATTTGTAATTTCATTCCAAAAACTGGGGTACAACTGCACTGCAAGATGCTCTAAAAATTAATTACTTAAATACATATATTGTTTTATAGCAGATTTCAGATAAGAAGTTCTTCTTACCTCTATATCAAATACAGTTAATTCGGACTTGGTAGTCAAACATTCTAAAGCCATCTCAATCATATCCCACCTATTCCTGATTTCCTTCCTCCCCTGTGAAAATAATAATAATTATAAACTGCAAATCAATACTGTTTTGTAAAAGTTTAATGAAATTTTTTATTTAAATTTAACTACATGGCTTTATTGCGATAGTAATGGCTTGTCTTGACATATGATGATCATGTGACAGCATGGGAACATAGGGTATGTTCCCCATGACGATCACTCTATACCACTAGATATTTCGTCTTTAAAAATAACTATTTTCCCCTGTATTTTACATACATTTTCTCCATCAACAGGGTACAAGTTTTCCCCAGAACAAGGCATATGGACATGATTTGGATCCCACATATCCTTTTTCTTGCCCAGCACTGTAGGAACTCTGTTTGCTCCTCCCAGAATACTGTCAGGCTGAAAAAAAATCCAATCATTGTGACATAAAATTACACACAACAACATAACTGATGTGTTATGTTTTTTGTTCAAAACTTTTCATTCAACTAAAATACTGTAGTAGTAATTGACTTAAACTGAAGGCATACTGTAGTTTCCATTAGTTTAACTCAACTGGTCATCTTTGAAAGTCAAACTACAATAAATGTACATTAGACGTTTTATACACATGGATAATACTAATCTAAACAAATATCATCACTGCCAAACAAGACACTGTTGACGTTAATCGATTATTTGAAATGGGTTTGCTTACATTGATGAGAACATGGTGCCTATCATCATGCTTGAGTTTTGGAAACTCTTTGTTGAAGCACTCTGGCATGCGATGGAAATGGCGCAGATCTGTACCCTAGTGTGACACAGATTGATACATTAACATCAGGCCATTCGTTAGGAAATAAAATATTAGAACATAATATTTTCAGCAGTGACAGATTTAAGATAACTTCCAATGTATTTTTATTTTGAAAAACAATACCATACTTTCCAAATAAGTTTAAATCCACAAAATATAAGGCAATTGTCTTTTAACTTGAACACGTTCTTAATTGCAAAATAGATAATTATAAAAGTTATTTTATAAATTAACAAAAGACAAGCAACTTAGGAAGTGTTAATACCATTTAAATACCCAAATGGTACAGTCATTAAGTTACTACTTACAAATGACTTTTTATCCTCAGAGGTCCATCCTGGGGAACTCTTAGATGTGGATGGACTCATGGGCCTTTATAAAAGAACGCAATACTTAAGTCAAGACATACATGTGAAACATCAAAAAGCATTATCAATAGAAGGCCCCAAAAAGATCATTTCAAACTGGTCACTGGATAACACAAGTTCAAAGGTCAACTTCCCACCAAAGGTAGACCTTTCTTACAGAAGATTTTTATTTCAGTCAAAGTGTCCCATTTACAATGAAATTTGTGGACTTACCTAATGTGCACTTAACTCCAAGGGGACTCTTGCTTAATGCAATCAGATTAACAGACTAACTTGCATCCTACTGTTTCCAACATACTCATATAATGACCTACCCTGAGTGTCAGAGCAACGTAAAAGCTAGCTTGTTAAATATACCTTGTGATGGAGTCGCTTTTACTAGCTCTGATGAACAGCGACAATCTGAGGGCGTTCTTCTTCAAAATTTTGCCTGGGGCACTTCCATATTTGGAAGTCACATGTCACAGCTGTGTCCGCCTGGATCCATATTTGGAAGTCATAAGTCTCGTACGTCACAGGTTTTGCCGCCTGGAGCTGCCTTTCCCTCCTTGCACTGAAGTTATCTCGTGCAGACGAGACAAGAAGCAATTTAAGTGCCTGACGCGAAGTTAGAAGTTTGAATTGGAAATATCTTGCACTCGAAGGTCAGTGCCACAATATAATGACCAGATTTTCTATATTCAACTCAAAGCCAGAAGTAGGCATGCTTGTCTGATTGCATTCAGCAAGACCTCCCGTGCAGTTAGTATGCATCAGCTATGTAGACTTATGATAATCAGGCTTAGATAACTTACTGTGAATTTTCCAGGGTGGAATCTGTGCCAAGTGAATTGAAAGCTGCCTCTTCTAATTTCCCTGCATCATGTGCTGGACTCACTGATGCCACTACAAAACAGATTTAAACAACTATACAATAACCTACAGCTGGATCTCTAATTCTCAAAAAAAAAAAAAATGTTGAAAAAAGATTTTAAGGATTTAAAAAACTCTGAGAAATTAAACAACGACGTGAAGTTCTGCAAAATTCTAAATTCTAATATGATTATGAAAAAAAAACTCATCCCTCCAAATGTCAGTAACTTGAACATTTCCGTCTAACTTACTATTACATTTTACATATATTGATTCAAACTGACCAGATGCGGTTTTCTCACAAGCAGTTCCCATGGCATCAGAACTAATATCACCAGAACTACTGAAACAATAAAACAGAAGCATTATTTATATCACAAACACAGCTAATCCAATAAAACTTGCAAATATCAACACTACCGACTTTTTTTCACTAAATCAAGAAGAAATACAGATATATGACACATATATATCCAAAAGAAACTAGCCAGAACATGTTTTATGCCTGTACATGTATGTTTTTTCATTAAAGACTTCTTCTGATCATCTGTACTTATTGTATTTTAGGACAAAAAATTGTTTTTATCCATACACACATTATCACCAAAGATCAAATATTATTAAACAACCTGAAAAAAGACATGCTTGTATTTAGATAGCAAGGAGCAATGAGATAAAACAGTTGACAAAACCTTTTGATATGACATAAAGATAATTTTCCAGTTACCTCTCAGCTGTGTGGTCTTGGTTTGGAATGGTTTGAAGATCTTCTTTGTCTGGTTTTGTGAAGTTGAAATCTAAAATATCAAGGAAAAAACTGGAAGATGACACAAATGTATAAACAAGAATAACCCTTAGAAGGTGACAGCCTGGGAAAATGTAATAACCATTCACTTCTTTGTCCAAATTTAATCTAATATATCATTTTATCATTTTAAAGACATTTAATTATTACCACGTTTACAGGAAGTGTGCTTAAAATATCCATTTATTTATCTTCTTTCCTATATTCTACATGCACATCATCTCAAATAAAAACATTTTTTCTCGTACCTTTCCAAACTTTTCTATCACCGTCCTGTTGCTGACTTCCCATACCTACTTCAGTAACCTTGAAACTATCTGTAATACTAGTCTGTCTCAGTTTCTTGAATGGGGGTGCAGACATTTTACTACTCCTGCGACATAAAAGGCAGGTCAGAGTAACACAGCGTAAGACTGGCCTCTCCGTTTTGACTCTAGAAAATCAATCTTGTATGTTGAAGTAACTAGTTACAGGGTAATTAAGCAATTTAATTGTTCATTCTCTTCTGTTGGAGCATTGTTGTTTGTCTAATTAGCATTGTAAAATTATAATCTGAATATGCAATCTTATAATTAAATGCTTAAGTCCGTAAACATACAATCTATGGTGTCGTTACTAGGAAAACATCCATATGGAGCTCATAAGGAAATGGGAAATACGCACGTCTAATGTCATGAAGGGTGCCAAAATTGGTCACACTTTGCTATAAAGCGAAAGAAATTAACGTCAACATTAACTATCTCCTTCACAAAATTTCACTTTTAAATCACCAACTTACACCAAAAGAAAGTGGCAGTCAAAATGTTATCACGTCAAACAACAAAGAATCATTATACTTCCACTCTATTTACTTACTTTCATTTCGGCATTGCAAAATGCACTCGCAAGATTTGTTAGTTTGTTTGGTCTCATAAAGGTCTGTCTTGCGTGAAACTTCGAGAGTAGGAAGTATGTGTCGCCCTCTTTGTCCCTCCATCTTGGAAGCAATCATGGTATGAGCGTACATCATAGAAAATATCTGTTCGAATCAAACGTTCAAAAGCCCATCACACAACAAGAATATCTGAGAGCAGTCCTCAGTAACATTTTAATTGCCTAACTGTTTCAAATGTAATTAAACCTTGGTTTACTTGTAGCACTTGCACGTTGAAGTTTGAAGTGTCGATCTTACTAGTATTTGATTTGACTGTGAAACATGCCAGAGTTTCTCGTCAGCTGTAGCATACTTCTCTTTGTCATTATCCTCAAAACCAGATTCCCACACAGCAGGCGTTCTATAGTTGTCTTTACCCAGAGACTGTGGTTGTTCCTTATGACAGAAGGCATCGGTCGATCCGATGTGTTTATCATACGGGGATCGTGCATCAAAATTGACTGAACTGCAGTGAAAGACTAACCACTCCACTCGTGTTATTTGAACCCATTATCCCTGCACCAAATTCTAAATAAATTGAGTTAGTCCTGAGGGAGACTTGTCCATAATAAAAAGAGCAGTGGTATGGAGGCTCTACATCTTGGCACAGTGTGTACATAGAAAAGAAACTAAAGGCACTGCTGTATGTTGCTCTTCAGTTCAAGAATAATACTAGTATTTATTTTTTGGTGGAACTGCTTTCTTTTACATTAAAGATGAAAATGATCCTTTCCAGCAACTTTAACATGATTTGATTTTTTTTTTTTTTGTTTCATTATAGAGTGAGGGTGCAGCAACTTTGCGAACGCGCAAGTTCCTGACCAACCGTCTACTATGCCGGCGGCAAATGGTATTTATTGGCCTATCATATTTGTTTTTCCATCATTAGTCAGTAGTGCAGGTCACTGACATGTAAAGGAAGCAAATTAAGACTTTTGTCCTATACTTGATTGGCTGGTACAATATGTAAAACAGATGTAATTAAATGCACTGAAATTTTCATGACATTTGAAGCAAAGATAACATGAGTAAAGTAATTAGAACAATAAACTTGTTTTAAAAGCTTATTCTTGTATTATAGGAAACGCATCTGCAGTTCCTTAATTTATTTCATCTTATAATTGATTTTGTTGATTTTTCTCCTTAGATTGTGGATGTCCTGCATCCAGGCCGTGCCACAGTGCCTAAGTCCGAGATCCGTGAAAAGTTGGCACGTATGTACAAGGTGACTCCAGACGTCATCTTTGCTTTCGGATTCAAAGCACAATTTGGAGGTGGAAAAACAACTGGCTTTGCCCTCATCTATGACAGCCTGGACTTTGCTAAGAAATTTGAGCCCAGATACAGGCTTATCAGGGTAAAGGAAGGGGCTGTGTTATTTTGATGATTTTTTTTTTTTAGACAATTTAGTATTTAACATATAGAATTGCACTGTGATTTATGGGTAATGAAACAGTATTTGTTTTTGGTAAATGTGTTTTTAAGACATTGTAAGTGTAAATTTTTAGCTTAATCAACAATTATTGCCTGTGATATTAAATACATTAAATGTCTTTCTTAAGCAGCTACAGGTTATTGGGAAAGGAAAGCAAAAACCTTTTCCCTATTAACATTTAATTAATCCTACAGAAAAGGTGCTTTTACGAGTCTTGTAAGCATTCAAAAAAAGATATAATTATTTTAATTGCCAAATTTTTATTTTAGCTGATATAATACAGAAATTTGATGGATTGAACTTTGATTTAAATTTTAGCATGGTTTAGCTCAGAAAAAACACACTGTGGCCAGAAAACAGAGGAAAGAACGCAAGAACAGACAGAAGAAAGTGCGTGGTACGAAGAAGGCTAAAGTGGGAGCTGGAAAGAAGGTAGGTTGATATTGAATTTGCCTCACATTAAAGAAAACAAAGTTAAAGCCAAAAATTACTCTACTTAAATGAACTTACTGAAATGGATATTTTGGATGCTAATAAAAAGCTTTATTATGGCATAGTACAAAGTTTAAAATAGGATATTATCTTAACCTTTTCATTTAAATTTTCTCGACCTTAGTCTGTATTTTAACTAATTACGGCTATTTCTATTTTCAGTAAAACCTCAGAAGAACAGGTGGAGAAAATCATGGACTTTCTATTTCTATTCAAAATTACAGAAATATGTAAATAAAAAAAAGAACATTGAAGAAAATATTTGTTATTGATGTTGTTGACATGGATACTTGCTGTAAAATGAACTGCCTGTGTAGGCCTGAAGGTGGCAATTTCAAAAGGGTGGTTCTTTTCCTGTAAAAGTGGACCTTTTACCACAACCTCTGTGAACCTAGATCAAATTTTTCCCAGATCGTACCTTTTCCTGGCAAAAAGGACAGTTCATTTTAATCCCTTGACTATGGGCCAGCTTTGAGCTTGTTGGGGGGGGGGGGGGGATAAAAAAAAGTAATTTTCGTGGATAAAATTGAAAATCTTGGAAACCGAGTAGAAAACAATTTATCAATCTTCGAACTATGATCATAGAAAGAAACCATGTTTTAATGCCTTTAACACCAATGGTATAAATTGAGCAATGATTTTAGCTGCGCTTACAACGGCTGTTTTTAAATGGTGCCTAGGTATGTATCCCAGCAGCATTTTGCAGTGGTAACCATATTTGGAAATTGGGAACATCTATCCCTTCAAAACAATACTGCAATGACGATTGTCTTTATTTCTCTAGTTTTATGGAATTGCAAAAAGAATTCCTTATTATTAGATCGTAGAAGTAGAGAAAGTATTAGATACATAACTGCAGATAGATGGATACATGGTTCACTTCTAACACCCACGAAATGTGGCATGTTTTGCTTGCACACTTAAAAAAATGGGTGCAAATATGAAATGCAGATTTAACCAAATAATTGACAGTTTCTTTGGATATTTACCCTGTTTGTCTCCAGCTTAACTCAAAAATCTTGGAAGGGTTTCACTGGCTGTTTTTAATAAACAGCTTCATTTGGCAGTAGCTCAAGGAGGGGTGGGGGGGGGGGGGGGAGCAGAGGAGGGGGGCACCTGACTGAACAAGCTCACCTGAGGGGTGATGGGTGGTAATATTTATCACAGCCCTGGCTTCCCTGATGTAGTCCGACTGTCAGCAGACAAAATATTGGTTGGCAAATCGCGTTGGCAAAAGCCGAAATAAATTTCCTATAGCAATTGACAGATTTAACTATTGGTTTATTATGAATTATTAATTTAAAAAGTTGCAGATGGATTTTGATGAAATTTTTAGGGTGAGTCAGGCTAACTTAAAAGTGATAACATTTAGTTGGGGATCCAGATAACTATCGAAATCCAAAAATCCATTTTTTTTTCTGTGAAATAACACAATTTATCCATGTACAGTCCTTTGCAGAAGTTCCTCTTTCTGGGTGCTTTTCTTGTTACTTCTAAACTAGTTTTGGTATTCCTATCTTCAATGTGTTGAGTTGTCTTCTCTAACACATTGAGTTGCACACCCAAGAACAACCAGAGAGAATAGGCTACTTTGTGTATTTATCTTGTTTTCTGTGATATTTTAACCGAATTGAATACTTCCAGGGTGATTTATTCATACTTTATGCCTGATAACATAAGAATGTAAGTTAATCCTAGAGCTAACCACATAAAAGCTATTGTGTAACTGTGATGTGATTTGTAATATAATTCATGATAAATTTAGAACTGTTATATGTCTGATTTCTTTAATGAAAATTCATATCCCTGTTATCATTTTCAATGTAAGCAGAGGACCATGTGGTTTTTTGTTGAACACTCACAATAAAATTCTTGCTTTTAAAGTATATAGAGGCAGATCCAGGATTATTTGAAGGAGGGGTCCGGAACGACAGGCCTGGTATGTGAAGCCGACCATCACCCCTTGGAGTGGGGTTCGGGGCCTGCTGAAGGTCCTGAAAATTCTTTGGTGTTTTGGAGAGCAGTCGGTGCCCTTTGGCTAGTTAAAAATGTAATTTCAAGGGGGGAATATTGGTGTGTTATATATTTTTTGGTATACCGTACGCTACAAAGGAAATTTAAGAGATGGTAGGCATAATCATGATTTTTATTATACAAGTACAATTAAAGATATTTTCTGATGGTCTACAACAACTCTCTTTCACTAAGTGACTGTTGCTCCAATGAGTTCCTATTCAAAAATGCATCATGGCTCAACCCGAGAAAACAGTTACATATGTATCCCTGCTATATGTCGATCACTACATCTAAGAACACAGATAAAATTCTAATATTTAGCAATTACTTACATACCAGGGGTGGATCCAGGATTATTTGACGGGGGGTCTCCACAGATGCAAAGTGTGGAGTTCGGGGCCTCCTGAAGGGCCCGAAAGATTTTGGTATTTTAGATGGTGAACAGTGCCATTTGGTACAGTTTAGAACTATGATTCAGCTAGTCAAAATTCTAATTTCAAGGTTGGGCCATTCGTGCAATTTTTTCAGAAATCGAAGGGGGGGTCAGGACCCCCCTGAATCTGCCACTGCATACTGTTGTCAATAAATGCTGATAATCAAATATATGGGTTGAAAGAATTAAGATGGTAGTACAGTGTAATCCCATATGCTCACCCTTATACATGTATGTACTGGCTTTTGATTTAACAAGAACACTCATTTAACAGCTAGGCCCACATACAGTGTAAACTGGGTGCCTTGATATGCTTATGTAAGATGATTTAAGGGGTTAAAATGAAATCTACACCTGCTTTATAGCATTTAAATGGTGGAAGGATTGATGAGTTTGTTCAAGATAGATTCCACCATTTCAGCATCCTTAAGTACCTGCAGTATCCTACGGGCTCCCTATGTGCATTTCCATTTCAATTGATTTTCAATAATGCTTCTTGGCACTTTCCTATCTTTGCATGCATAGATCCAAGTTTCTTCCATATCTGTATGTCTTTTAATTTTTGAAATCGATTTATTCATTCATATGTTTGTTCATTTGTAATATTATTGGGGGGGGGGGGGTAATATTTTTTCCCATTTAGTCCTCTCACTACATTGAGAATATTGATGATAACATCATAATTGCCCATCAAACTTAAATATGATAACAGCAGTCTCTACTTCTACAAACACAATTTTCATCCTTGCATGGACATTTTCTGGGAGGGGCCTTATACGTACCTGTTATACAGTTAAGAAGGTCTCTTGTGTATAAAGACAAGTTTTTTTTTCATTACTAAATGGCAGATTGGGCCCCTGCCTTTTACCAAAATATTAAATCATAAAGTTTTAACATTTGCGATCAGTGAGCGTGTTATATAATCAGAAAGGGTTACAAGTGGTACGTGCCATTTGTATCTCTACAAAGCTCATCTTTTCTAAGTCAGACCCTAGACCATTCTGATATCACTCATGATAATGTTTATTTGGTAAAATTGAGGAAATTAGATCCAAGTTTCATGCTGTTGCCTTGGCTTCCTAACTTGAGCCAATCACATTCCAATGTCGTCTTATGGATCAAATTAGGCACAACTAAATTGACTGGAAACAACCTTTTCATAATATGAGTGCGGAAAGCAACGGCACTGTCGGCTGGTAAGTTGGTCGTGGTCATGTGTGTAATTTCTTTTGAACTGTGTGATGTAGGATTCCTCCTCCTGGAGATGATAGGTATTACTTGGCTTACAGACAAATGCTAGCTGTTATTTCAGATTTGTTCATAAGTTAATAAGTGGATCACAGATCAATTTGAAGTCATGTTGGGCAGATGGTATTGTAATGCATAACATGCTATCAGTTGAATTATGGCATTTCTCATGCTGTTTGTGGCTAGTTACAAGACAATTATCCTAATATGGTTCGTTGTGGTTTTTATTTGTTTTCAGATCAATGTTGGGGTTGGAGGGGGGGGGGGGTGAAATTAATCCTGCATGCTGAGCACAGGATTGCTATAGAATTTATATAGAGCTGTAGAACCAATTGAGTAGTTAAAACCTATTTTGATATAATTCTTATGAATATATAGTGATACAGAAACAGAAGAACATGTCAGAGTGTTCATTCATCTCAGACAACACACTAATCATTATTTTTGTTTGAATTGGTAAACTAATCTTAAGTAAACAAATCAGCCTTTTTATGCTTTTGTTTACCATAATTATAAAGCGAATAAAATGCATTTGCATGGCAGTATATGTTATGCTATCATCAATCATGCATGTAAAGATTTCAGTGTTAAGATACCACACATATGAATAGGGATGTATGAATAGGGATCAAAGGCAAGAGAGAAAAAACATTACTGAGACAGATTTTGTCTCTTTTTTACTTTGCTGACTAAATCCATTAGTCATTTGAGCTGATGATCTAGATGTTGGTAAAAAGTATGCTATGTAATAAAGCATTGTATTACAGTGGGCCATGTGCAGGTCTAGATTGTCTGTCATCACTTCAGCTCTCTCGTTACAGTATATCCTGTCAGAGGAATCATGCAACGCTGGTTATTAGTATAAAGTGAGTATTTTAATATCTACATTGTTGAATGTTTGTAGAGGATCATCATCACATCATTGGCTATTGTGTTGGTGATAATTTGCGGAATCTGGAGAATCGGATGTGGATGAGATGATTACTAGACAGGTGAGGTCATATGTAGACATGTGCACTGAGACATGATTGACTGGTTGGGTTCCAGTTTGCTGTTTGGTGCTTGATTTTACTGTGACATGAGCTGAGCTGGGTCAGCCAGTATATATCACCAGGGCACTGCTTTAAATGTCTGATTCAACAGGTGAATCCTGACTTGGTATTTGCTGAGTAGGATATGCTATAGAGGTAAGCGTCTGCATCATTTTTTAAATCACAATTTGCTCAGGTTATTTGTCCCCCTTTTGCTGAAAGATACAATAGCACAAGCAGCTCTCCTAAGCTAGGTTATTCAACAGACTTCTTAAGTCTGCATCCTTGGCAGATTATTGTGGGTCAATTTTTCACTGTGCTTAAGTAACTTTGTACATGTCACCATTCTGTCCCATGCATGTAGTGTCAGAGGATTGGTTGGTTTAACCAAAACCTATTAAGGGGTCTGGATATCATTAAAGGGGGGAGGGGGAGGGATAAACACACAGCAATCCAACCATGCAACCATGAAGGTGCCATTCTTGAGACCATGCATTCATATGCATACATCCTGAGTTGAACCTGAAAAAGTAGGAAATGAGCTCATTAAGAAAATAATTTTTCATGGAGGATGATATGGTCCTCATCAATAATGAAACAATTTAGCCAACTTGATAATGTGCATTTGGTGTTTGTTCTCCAGCTGCAAAAATGCTTGCAGATATATTGAATACCTAATACATATACAAGTATCTGCATGTGCGTGCAGCGTGGAAGGTACATAGGATTCGGGAGCAGGGTAAATGGCAGAAAAACTTTACTTAATGTATGTAGGTCAGTGTCATTTTGTGAAATCAAGCAGTGTGACCACAGGGATAATAAATCATTTATTTATGGTAGAGTGAGCTTTTTAGAGACCAGTCGTGCTGTGTATACAGTGTTCATCATCAGATATATGTGTTGGTGTTATTCAGGTATCTTGATATGTATTATGCCACGAGGATTAGCAATTGATTAATTGTTGGGTATTGGAAACAAATGCATATTGTAAATAAGTATACTTGTAGGCAGATATGAGGGGTCCACACTTAATTTTGGCCAGAAAAGGTTCACTCTGGATTGAAATCTGATGTATCAGTTATTATATGTCATTTCTGAAGTTGGGTCAACTTTGTATGGGAATAAAAAAGGACTCCACTTTTTCAAGACATGCCCCTCCCCCTTCAGCCCATTTATAATTGCTGGCTCACTAACATGCATAGGTTGACAACATTGTATATATTTGAACCGTGAGCCTTTTATCAGGATATTCCTGACGACTATAATTATCCTGCCAGTTTTATGTTTTTCTGCATTAAAGTGCTTTTAGACAAAATCCCCATCTCGCCGTTTTCAAAACCTCCACTGGGTATTATTTATCAAACCAAACGATGTCATACATTGCAGTGCTTGCCCAATCTTGTTATGAACCGAGTGAAAAGTAGCAGTAAAATGTCTTTTCTTGTGTTAATTTGTGTTATGTGGTTATGGCAGTTGCATAATGAAGTTGTTCGTATCTCTCTTAGGTTGCTTGTACAGCTGAGCAGGCATTATTTGTGATACATTGTAGTCTTAATTGTCAGTACACTTGCCAAGCAGTCTGAAAGGAATGATAGATATTTTGATGGAGTGGATTTACATAATATTGAGTCATATCTTTTGTCATTTTCTCTGGTGAGAGACGAGATCATGGGCCCATGTTTATACTAATGGCAGAGAGAGATTTTTTTTCAGTTTATATTATATAAGTATTATAATTTTTTCACTAGCTAAAATATGCATGGTAAGTTTTCTGTGCTAACTGTGTTTTGTAATTATAATAGCTATAGTGATTATGATTACATTATTATGATGCATCTGACAATTAATGCATTAGGCAAACAGCAAAAAGGTAAATAAAATTGGAGTGGTCTGTGGTTGATGTATGGCATTGGGTAGACTTTGGAAGTGCAAGGATATTCGTCTTAAAATATATATATAGGAGGCAAATTATTGGCATGAAGAACACAATAAGAAGTGATTCTTGTTACAATTAATTTCAGTGCTTTTCTCTTCATTTCCTATAAAATTTCATTCTTTTTATATGTTCAAAAAGAGAGAAGGCAGGTAAAAAAACTTTGGTTTAATTACATGAAAAACACATTTTTGTGATAAAACATGAATCTAAAATGTTTTGGAGAAAAGATATCAATTTCTTGCCTCTCCTTTCTAATTTAAGAAGCAAAGTACATGAAGCTTGAAGTTTAATATTCAATTAACCAATGCAGTTAAGTCAGGGGTGGAACCAGGATTATTTTAGGGGGCAGCGCAGATTCGTGGCAAATTTAAAATGTGCAATAATAATAATTAAAGTAGTATGGACAGTTTTTTGTTGGCCATAGAAAAGTCGCACCGTGTAGCAGGTTCAGTTTTATCTTTTTATCAAGTGCGTTTTGGGATGCAATTGTGAACCTCTGAGAAAAAAAATCATACAGATTAGTTAAGCACAGGTGATGAAATTAAAAATCAGAAAATAATTTTGCCATCTTTATAAAGTCTTGTATAAACATTTTTTATTAAAATGTGGTAATTTGTATTTGACAACTGGTGTTTGCTACATCCGATACACAGTTACTGATCAAGAACCTACAGTTGTCTGTTGTCATGGCATTAATTTTACTAGTGCTTGAATTTCTTGCTAATGTTTCCTCTTAAATGGCCAATTAAGTGATTGTCTCAAGAGACAGATTGCGTTTGCTCCAGGTCTACATATCATTACCAAAAATTGCATACTTGAATGAGTATGAAGTCAACATTGCCTTTTTGGTTAATCAAGGATGCAAGGATAATTTAGAGGTGTGGGTGCAAGGATAATTTGGGGATGTGGGTGCAAGGATAATTTGGAGGTGTGGGTGCAAGGATAATTTGGGGGTGTGGGTGAAAGGATAATTTGGAGTTGTGGGTGAAAGGATAATTTGGAGCTGTGTGTGCAAGGATAAGTTGGGGGTGTGGGTGCAAGGATAATTTGGAGGTGTGGGTGCAAGGATAATTTGGGGTATGGGTACAAGGATAATTTGGAGGTGTGGGTGCAAGGATCATTTGGAGGTGTGGGTGCAAGGATCATTTGGAGGTGTGGGTGCAATCATCATTTAGAGGTGTGGGTGCAAGGATCATTTGGAGGTGTGGGTGCAAGGTTTATTTGGGGGTGTGGGTGCAAGCATCATTTGGAGGTGTGGGTGCAAGGATCATTTGGGAGTGTGTGTTGATGGGGTGTGGATGCAGATATAACTTGGAGGTGTGGGTGCAAGGATAATTTGGGGTGTGGGTGGGGTTTGTGGGTGTAAGGATCATTTGGATGTGTGTGGATGGAACAATTAATTTTGATGGGGTGTGGATGCAGAGATAATTTGGAGGTGTGGTTAAAAAGATAATTTTGGTGTGTGGAAGAAAATATAATTTGGGGTGTGAGTGCAAGAATAATTTGGGGATGTGGGTGCAAGGAAAATTTGGGGGGTGGGGTGGATGCAGGGATAACTTGGAGGTGTGGGAATAAGGATAATTTGGAGGTGCTGGTAGGACATAATAGGCAGAAAAGATTGTAATTAGCATATATCTACTGATGGCACGGCAGGCAACTCTAGACTCCAGTATCTGTGTGAAATATTAAAGATACATGTTTATGTTGAGTGAGAAATGCCCTGTAGTGTATATTAATTATAAGTACATGTAAAAAAATTTAAGGCCCAGCAAGTTACGAAGGATACATTCAAGCTTAATTCGGCTAAATTGACGTCTGGCACATGAACAGAACAAATGGATCAAAGCATGTTTCAGTTGAAAATTCGCTGTTGAATTATAGATTATATTTTCATGATTGTCTTTTCTCTGTCTGCAGAGCTTTTGTCTGTCAATTCTTCCTGTTTTTGAAGAATGACTTATCAATATGTTTCTGAGAATCTCACATCACTGAAAAATGTTGAGCTGTTGAAGGCTTTTCAGTTTCTACTCTGAGGACATGTTTTTCCTGCGTCGTCTCTCTCTCTCTGTTCACACTTAGTTAAACTTTTGCATCATGCTGCCACACAATACACTGTATCAATGAATTTGTTAATTTGTTAACATTTGATCCGTCAGTATGAATCCGACTCTGTTCCTTTTTTTTTTTTTTTATTCAATGTGCAGTTCTGATTGAGTAATTCTGACAGTTACCAGACCTGAGATAACATAATTGATTATATAGCCTCTGGCTGAACACTTACATGGGGGATAATAAGTTTGTTTGCTCAGATGACTTAACTATACAATATAAGATCTGTGAATAGAAAAAGAATTTCTGAATCAGCCTTGGGCTATAGGAGCTCACCACTTATACAGACACACCCACACCCTCTCACCCACACACACACACACCCACACACACACACATGCACACACACATGCACACACACAGAGTGAGTCTGCGATAGAGAGAGAGAGAGAGAGAGAGAGAGAGAGAGAGATTGGAGAGAGAAAGAGAGACAGAAAGGGAATATTCAGTTTGTGCATTGTTTCACATTATCACTTAAGACAAATGGTTTGCCATTGATGTGCTTTTAGACAAATTAGATTATAATACAAGGCACAGCGGCACACACTGTTGCTTATCAGCATCTCTGTGTCCATCAATGGAATCACTAGAACCTGTATCAATTAAGTGCAGTTGAAGTGATCAAAACTTCTATGGTATTAAAAGTTGGTGTTCAAGTGTTACAAATGGTTCCAAACAATTACATTTTTCTAAGTAATTATTCACTGGTAAGAAGCAAGAATATTAAGGTGGGTATATTATGATGATGCATTATCTTACACATTCATTGAGATTATATTTTACATTTTGT